CCCACCTGGTTCAGCTCACTCACTTGGCTCACCTGACACCTGCGGGGAAGCCCTGCTTGCCTGTCTGAGCAACTTCTGATTGCCTTCAACACTGGCAGAATAGATGCCCCTTGGGGAGCCCTCTTCCCCGCCCAGGCAGAGACGGCACCAACCGGCAGACAGAGATGAGTGGTAGGGATGGAGGGATTCAGTTCCTTGATGCTGCAAGCAATAAGTACTCTCTCCCTACCTGGGGCTCAGCCCATTGCGGAGAAAGAGTTTGTGTGTGTGTGTATGTGTGTGTGTTACACAATCTCAAAAGCTTTGCTTCATTGAGAATTTCAGCCTTCCTGTCCCAGAAAGCTCATCTGGAAATGCACTACTTAAAAGACCTACAAGAAGAAAAATAAACCATTAACCTTTGAACAGCCCTCAAGAAACCTGGTTCAGACATCTCACATTATGCCCAAAGGGCAGGCAGTCAGGCAACCCAACAGTTTCCTAACTTCTGGATCAAGGCCTTGAGAAAGTGGCTGTGTTCCCTTGATAGGGTTGCCAGCTCTGGGCTAGGAAATACCTGGAGATTTGGGAGGTGGAGCTTGGGGAGGGCAGGGTTTGGAAAGAGGAGGGATCTCAGCAGAGTATATTGTCACAGAGTCCACCCTTCAAAGCAGCCATTTCCTCCAGGGGAACTGATCTTGGTTGTCTGGACATCAGTTGCAACAGGAAGAGATCTCCAGGTGCTACCTGGAGGGTGGCAACCCTAGCCCATGGTGTTAGCCTTACTTACACAGAGGAGATCTGAAGGATGCCCCCTTCTGCTTACCAAATGTTTTGCAACCAAACAGATGGTGGGCAGGCCTGACCATTTCTTACATGTGTATGAAGGAGCACAATACTTTGAAACTGCTTCCATACAGATACAGCACTCAGTCAAAAGGGTTTCCAAAATGGGCAGATGGAAACTTCCAGCCAGGCCAGTGCTATTAGACAGCCAGGCCTAGCCTAGGGGGAAATGGCAGCATCAAGGATGATGGTTGCAAGCATAAGCAGCTTTGCAAGGGTATTAGATTCACAGAGGAATCTATCAGTGGCTAGTGGCCATGGTGACTAAAGGGAACCTCCCCATTCAGAGGCAGTAAACCCCTGGATACCAGTGCCAGGAGGCAACATCAGGTGAAGGCAAACCTCTGGCAAACCTGTTTGCCCTGTTGTTGGCCCTCCAGAGAAACTGTTTGGTCACTGTGTGAGACAGGATGCTGGACTAGGTGTGACCATTGATCTGATCCAGCAGGACTCTTCTTATGCAGCTAGAGTTGGCCAAACCAAAAGACAGACAAATGGTTAAAGCTGAGGAGACTTTAATCTCAACACAAGGAATCCTTCAATCTGTCCTTTGGAATTTTTTCTCTTGGCTGCAGACAGTGGTCAAGCATACCAATGTCAAAGCACTTTTTGGATGAAGACAGGCAAGATCTGGAGGAGGGGTGGCCAAACTGCGTCTCTTTCACACATGTTGTGCGGCTTCCAGCAGGGTGGCTGAGGAAGCTAGATTGGTCTCCCCTTCCCCAGCCGGTGTCCCCCCCCCCCGGGTTTGCATTAGATGGGGGGGAGCAAAGAAAGCAACTTTAAATGCATTCTTAAAGTCCCCCCTCCCCACTGGCCAGCTTGGAGAAGGCATTTGTCTCTTTAAATCCCTTCTCCAAGCCAGGCCACCTGGTGGGATGGGGGGGGGGGCGATCTTGAAAGATGCATGTAAAGTTGCTTTCTTTCCACCTCTCCCACCCTCCCTGCCCCCATCTATTTGCTTTCTTTGCACTTTCTTTCTTTCTACCTCTCTCCCCCCATCTAAAGTTAAAGATCATTATCAATATCTGTTTTTACCCCCTTTGTTTTTATTTTTGGCAGTCTTATTTAATGTTAATAAAAAGCAAATTTGCATATTCTTCAATAAAAACGTGTGTAATATTTGTTCATGTCTTGTGGCTCTCAAACATCTGATGTTTATTCTATGTGGCTCTTACATTAAGCAAGTTTGGCCACCGCTGATCTGGAGGAAGCCCAACCCTCCCTGCTGCTCAAGGTGACTTGTGACCAATTTCTGTCAGATTCAGGGAGGAAAACAAGGTGGAGCCAGTGCAGATTATTTGGGGGAAGGAAGAGTTGGATTCCTGGAGTTCAAGGGAGTTGGGGAAGGAATACTGCTGTTCATCCGATCTTGTTGGAGCTTGGAAGCTAAATGGGGTTGGCCATGGTTAGAACTTAGATGGGAGTCCATGAAGGAAGAATAGGATTGCTATGCAGAGGAAGGCACTGGCAAACCTGTGCTCATCTCTTGCTTTGAAAACTCCATACTCCTGGGGTCGCCATCAGTTGGTTTCAACCTAACGGCACACTATTATTATTAGGGTAAAATATCCCATTTGAACTCTATTCAGTAAACATTTGCTCACAGCCCATCCCCCCATATTCCACCTGGTCTCAAAAGTCACAGCCCAGCTCTACTCATGTCCAGTTATTTCAGGAAGACTTTACCAAAACTTCTGCTCTACCTGCTACCCCCCATCTTGCCACTGGGGCGATTGCTTCCTGAGCCCAAAGCAGAGCTGGGATAATTGCAGTAACAAGCCCACCCCAATTAGATTAATTATTCACTCCCTCTCTCCCTCCCAGGGGAATGCCAGTTACCGGGGACCCAGAAGAGCATAGAAACCACCAACAGATCACACCGACAGCTGGGAAGCCAGGAGTGGGGAGGGAAATACAGCCAACAGGTAGCAGATGCAGTTGTGTGGTCTTTGTTTTGCAAAGCAGAGTAGCAACCCCCTTTTAAAGTAATCTTTTCTAACTAGGGTGCAAACTTACATGTACCTACTAGACTCTCAGTGGGATGCATCTGACCTGTCACCAGCTAGCATGGGGGGTGGGGGTGGGGGTGGGGGGGGGAATTGCACCAAGCAGACTTCTGATATAAAAGCAGTCCTGGCTAATCTCCAAAGAGGAGTGCCTCTCTGACCATACATTAGGCTTCCAGGAGAGCATGAAATCGGGTCCCGAGTGAGAGGAGCCTCCTGATCAGCAGTTGACACAGACACAGCTGGCTCTCAAGAGGCCAAAGGAACAGCGCTATCTCAACCTCCTCCTGTTGCAGGCAGGCCAAATAAAGTTAGTGCAGGGCACATCCCCCTCCAAGACAGATGAACTGCAGCAAAAGCACAGAAACATGCCTTCTGAGGCATCCACCTCAGTTGCCTTCTTCCCCCCCCCCATCACAGGGGCAAGCTACTTAAGGCACTGATCACCTGCAGCAATTCTCCATGTTCTCATGAGCAAAGGAAGAACACCTAGAGCTTACTGTGTGGAACGCTGCCATCCAGTTAGGTCACCTTCTGCTGTGCAGCAAGGGAACTGCAAGAGATGGGGGCACAAAGCTTGCCAGAGTCAAGGAACTCTAGGACCCTGATGTCCTAGCCCCCCCCCAATCCTTCCTAGGGAAAAAGACCTTAGATTCTGGACTAGATTTTAGCTGGAACTGGGTAGCATAACTATAGGTGACAACCAATGGCTTTTAGGATTAAATGTCTTTTCTTAACCATTCCCCCTCAAGAATTTCTGCTCATAGAAAACTAGATAAGAACATAAGAGAAGCCAATGTTGGATCAGGTCAATGGCCCATCTAGTCCAACACTCTGTCACACACTGGCCAAACATACCAAGTGCCATCAGGAGGTCCACCAGTGGGGCCAGGACACTAGAAGCCCTCCCATTGTTGACCCCCCCCAGGCACCAAGAATACAGAGCATCACGTGCCACAGACTGAGAGTTCCTTGTGGCTAATAGCCACTGATGGACTTCTGCTCCATATGCTTACCTAATTCCCTCTTGAAGCTGTCCATGCTTGTAGCCGCTGCCACCTCCTGTGGCAGTGAATTCCATGTGTTAATCACTCTTTGGGTGAAGAAGTACTTCCTTTTATCTGTTCTAACCCGACTGCTCAGCAATTCAGATACAATCAAATAGCAAAAATCTATGGTTTATCTTGATGGTATTATGATGTACCTTCCACATACTTCATCTATGTGTGGTGGTTTTATAAATGTATGAGGGAATATCGGACCATGATTACTAAAGTAGGGGATGTGGTATTGCCATTTGGGGCTCTCCAGAGTTGCTTCTAAATTATGTTCAACTGTACCCAAGAAAGCTCCAGGTTATTCTCACGTATATGATTACTGCTGCTGCGTTAATCCTTGCAAGACACTGGAAATCCAACAATTGCCCTGCACCTTGGGAATAGTTTGATAAAGTAAAGGATACTTATAAAGTATGCTTTCCTTTTAGTTAAAATCACTATGCTACAAGGAGGTGAAAGTTTGCAACAGTTGGAAGTGGAGTGGTCTGGCATAATGGAGTGGTCTGGTATCCAAACCTGTGTTTAAAGTTTATCTGTGCTTATTTTTATATACACGGATGTATAGTGGTTTCTTCTGTGTATTTGGAGATATATGGTTTTGCTATCTCTCTTTGAGTTAAAAGCAAAAGTCGCATAAGAGACATTTTAAAAAATCCTAGATACAAGGTGAACTTAGCATTCTACGGAGGGGGGAAGCAAGGATGGCCAAACTCACTGAAGTTCAAATGAAACTCTTCTCAGTGGTAAACAGTTCTGTGTAAGGGGAAGGAAATTTGGCCATCTAATGGAGAAGGGGGGTCCCCTCTGAAGGCTACTTGGAAGACATGCTCTGGAGCACATACAGAACAGAGCCCCCAAGGAACTGGAAACAGGCCCCACAACTTGACAATGGTCAGTCTTTCCCAGGATGGTTGAAGAGGAATGTGTGCGTGAGGGGGCAGATCTTAGTTTACCAGGAGGAAGTGATGCGCATGCAAGTCTGGGAAAGACTAAAGCAGGCTACAAACCACACCAGATGCCCATTCTCTTTGTCTATAACACTAACATTTATTTCCATAGAAAAACAAAAAAACTTGTTTCAGAATCCACCCCGCTAGCATCCTGGAAATGTATCCTGGAAAGAAGAGGGAAATTCAGCATATTGTGTGTGTGTGTGTGTTTGTGTGTGTGGGGGAGGGGTAACAGGAGAAGAATGACAATAGGGTGCACTGGGCCAGCATCCTCTTCCATCACAGCAGGCCCTGGCGTTTCAAATCTTCGTAGGTCTTTTTGTTGACAACATTCCCACTGGAATCTTCGTACTCTTCCTGCAAAGAAAAAAAAGAGCTTGTTGGGTTCTGTGTAGGGGGAGGAACAGCACTGAGCCAAGAAGAGGGTTGGTCTGATTCTGTGTTCCTCTTTGCACAGGAGGATGGGAGAGGAGAAGGGGGCACTGGCTTTCCTCACTTATATCCATCTCCTGGTTCTCTTTGATGGAATGCTGAGGTCACAGGATAAGTGTGGCATCCACACATGTAGGCCATCAACCTTTGGCATTCCCCTCACCATAGGCATCAATAAAGCACCCTAGGTTCCAGCTTACTTCTGTGTCCGGTTGCCACCTTTCCGATGCCTTCTGTTGCTTCAGCTTTGCCCACACTGGAACAAACACAGAGAGGCACAAAGTCAGATGCTCTCACTGGCTCTGCCAATACCCCAGACCCCACCCTTTACTCCCCAGAGCAATACAAGTGTGCCTGGGTTAGACATTTTGCTGCTTTATTTATTTATTATGCTTCTAGCCTACCCTCCCCTGCAAGAAGGCTCAGGGCGGGTTACAACAGCAGTAGATACACAACCCAACTTCAAAACACAACCAGTCATTAATGGCAAAAAAAATTAATGGCAAAAAAATTAATCGTAACTTTGCTAGCATAAAAAATTGCATCGGTTCATATATTTATAGCACTTAAAAGTATAGGTTAGCTTTCTACAAACAAAATCGCAAACACACCCGATGCTTAAGTGAGATAGTGCTGAAAACTGAAGCACCTAATTGCTGCCTTAGTACACTCCGGTCATTCCAAAAGGGAAAAACCTTGTCTTAAAAAGCATTTCACTGTCATTACCAAAGGGAGGAAAATGGGGTAGGAATTTTTTTCAGCATTCCTCCAAATTTCCCAATTTTTCAACTGGAAAACTGAAAGAAATCTTTACGGGGGGAAATAAGGGAAAGGTTTTTTTATTAATGAATTTTTCTGTACTTTCCCCCCGATCATATCTTTAGTGTTGGTTCCTCAAGCAGAAAGTTTTGTTCTGTGCCTGAAAGTGGCAGCTGCTGGCAAGGCCAAAGCTATCCTTCTCACACGCTTGAACACACCCGACCAAAGAAAAATGGAAAAGCCACTAATCCCCTTGACAGGACAGAGGTTAGAGTACATCTCCCCAGCCCCAGTCACTGTACCCAACAACCCAGACATGGCCAAATGCCCCCCAAAGCACCTACTTAGCTACTTACATGAAACGGCGTCTTCAATCTGTGTGACATTTGCAAAGTGAGCCGTGTTGGGGATGCCCAGGCATCGCATCCCATGGGCGTGGCGCCACTCCTACATAGCAGAAAAAGGCATCAAAAAGAGAATCGAGCCCAAAATGAATCAGCCACGTGGTTTCTCTCTCTGCTCCCACCAAAATGGCCCAGGACACCGGCCACAAAATGCTTCCGTGTGGAATGAGGACCCCAGGCCAAGGACAAGGGCTGCTATTTACCGGTTGAGTATCTGAACAAAGGGATGCTCCCCCCACCCCTCTTTCTTCAACAGCCATAACCTGGAACTCCTGCTGTGCAGCAGTCCCAACACACCAACTGATGGGCCACCTCTTCTCCTCCCAGAGTGACTCTTAACTTTGCAGTGGACCAGAGAAAAGAATCTGATAGCTCCCTTACCGCAAAGTGTCGCTGAAATGCCTTTGGCCCCCGATACGTATAGTTTCCACAGATCTCGCAGTTGTAATTTATGTTCAGGCCGTGGAGCTTGTAGAGCCAGTAAGGGATGGGCTGGAAGGGAAGAGAGAATGTAAAGGGGGGAGGAGAGAGAAGAGGATAAGAACACATGAGCCTTGCTGAATCAGATCAGTGGTCTATCTAGACCAGCATCCCATTCTCACACAGTGGCCAACTAGTTACTGTAGAGGGCCAACAACAGGACACAAAGGCTATGGCCGTCTCCTGATGTTGCCTCCTGGCAGTGATATTCAGAGGTTAATTGCCTCTGAATGGGTTCACGTCATTCACCATGGCTAGTAGCCACCGATAGGTCAGGATGCCTGAGATGTCAACGAGGGACCCCTGCTTGCCCTCTGCTGCACCCAAGCCCTTCCCCCCTTACCTTGCCATCCCAGCCCAGGGGCAAGTTCTTGGGATTGTATATGATCTCGTTATCTTCATCCTCGCTCTCGCTCTCACTGATCTGCTCTTCCTCTTCTTCCTCACGCTCCTCGCCCGTCCGCGCTTGCTTGCGCTGCACATTCTCATGCGTCAGCTGACGCTGCTCCTACAGCAGGAAGCAAGAGAACGGGAATGCAATTCACTCACTGCTACTGCTGCAGGGCCACAATGCCATGACGAGGGAAAGTGAGGCAGGTGCTTACCCCAAGGATTTCCACATATTCATAGATCTGAGCCTCCAGGAAGGCCAAGTCCTTGTTCCTCTCAGTGTCCCTGTCAAGACAACAGCTCCATAAACACCAACCTGACTCAACTGCAGCTAGCGAGAGCCAGCCTCCCCCCCTTTCAAAAGCCACTGAGAGGGAACTGAAGGAGAGAGATACAGGAGTGAAGGTGGTGAGTGCTGGCCAAAGGCAGCCATGCCAAGTTCACCCTGCCTGGTAATAGGAGTGCAAAGGACTCAACTCACCGCTTGCTGCCTTTTGTCTTTGGGTTCTTAGCAAACAGGGAGGAGTCAAGGGCTTCCAGGGACTTGCCCTTGGTGCTGAACAGCCTCTGAGCACGCTCTTCTAGTGTTCTGGGCAGAATTGGGGAGCAGGGGAGAAGAGGAAGATGTCACCGAGGAAGAGTCTGTTTGGGGAGTGAGCCTGGACTCCTGGATCACTACAGAGCTTTCCCCCCTCTCATGAGAATTTGGACACCCCCCCAAGCAAACAGCAGCCAAGCCCCCAACTTACCCACCGCATTTGAGTCCCAAAGCCAGAAGTGCAGATTTCAGCCTGTCCAGTCCCAGGGAGGCCAACTCCTGTGGATGTACCCAAAGACACAAGTGTCCAGAGTTAAACACAGCCCTACCTGAAGACAACCCAGCCCAAACAGGAAGCTCCTTGTGTCCCGCTACCACATTTCCACAATGAAAGGATAGCAAAATAAAAGACAAACCTCCCAGGAAGAGAAGGCTGAGAGGTCCAGGTGGGCACCGGCATGAGTGAGGGCACTGCTGGTCTCTTTCTGTCAAAAGAGGAGAGGTGTGGGCTGAAGGCCTCTGGGAAATACACCAGAGCTTCCCTGGCCAGACACACAAGCAGCTGTCAAGGTGTCTACAAGGAGCAAGCTCTGGAGAGGCCTGATGGAAAAACTGCCCTCTAGGTGGAAGTCATCCAAGCCCAAGCCCAAACCACCAGATTATCCCCAGGGAACTCACTGGCCAGCCGGGGAATGTGCCGTTCTCCCACTTTTTTTCAAACTCAGCCTGGATCTTGCCAAACAGCTCATTCTGATCTAACAGTGGCTTGACTCTGTCTGTGTAATCCTGCAGATACTCCAGGAGCATCTCCAGGTACCTGGAATGAACAAAGAGTGTAAGAAGAAGGGATGGGGACTGCTGTCTCTGCACTCAAGTGATGTTCCCCTGCAACCCCCAGGAGCAAGAGTTCTGCACCACTCACAAAGAAAGCATGCGCCATACCAGCAGTGTTTGGTTCTGGTTATTGCATGGAAGAAAGAGAAACTATGTCCAGACATAGTCACTTAAAGTGGCATAGAAGTACAACACACAAATACAGGCCAGGCAAGGCCAGGACTGACATACTACAGCTTCTCCCCCGTCCCTCCCTATTGGGTGCATTCACCTCCTGTACTCCGCATTTTTCCTCTCCTTGGGAATGTCAAAGAGCTGGTCAAAAGTAGACAGGTATGTGATATAGTCCAATTTCTACAACAAAAGGATGAAAGACAATATTAGCTAACAGACACAAGATTTTAGGGCTTCCACAGAATCGGTTCCTTATTACTGCTCTCCCCATACAATCCTTATAAGCCTTGGTAGATAAAGAAACTACAACAATTACTAAAGGTGTGAGGGGAGACACCAAGCAATGTCCACAAATAGCACGATCAGAACCTCTTACCTCTGAGGACTTGAGATTAATGTATTTAAGGTAACAATCGTGCAGATCCAAGTAGCGGCCATATCCTTCTTCATCAGTGAACTCCACCAAGTCTGCAGAAAGCAAAGATTGGAAGAACACTCAGAACTGCCACAACAAAAACCCGGGAAAGTCACTGGTAGAAACAGGCCCAATCAAAGCTGCACCAGAATCAAATTGAGTTCTCTACCAACTTAATCCATCTACTTCCAGAACAGAAGCGAGAAGACCCAGTTTAACTCACTCTGAGCCTCTTCACTTGGGTTCTCTCGTGCCTTCAAGAGCTCCTCAAACTCCACCGACATTGGAACACAAATCTATAAAGGAGAAACATGGTATTATTGCAGTTCAGAAGTAGTATGTAGGCAGCAAACAGATCACAGAAATGATTCCCCCCCCACTCAAAAAACACTACAAATTGTTTTGTTTAACAAGGCAAAAAGGCAAGAAGGAAAGTTTACACAAGAGAAAAAGGAGAAGCATAATGAGCCAACAGTAATGAAGTTCCACAAGCAGATAGCGAAGCCAGAACGCCCAGGCAAAGATTTCTGGAAAAAAAGTCAAGTGGCAGCCCAACAGAGGGCCTGGGACCAGCACAGCAGAAGGTTCAATGGCAGGGGCAAACAGGGGGCAACAAAAGAACAGAGGCAGCATCCCAGCCTGCCCTCTCCACGGTGGCCTCCTGCCCTCACCTCATTGGGGTGCTTCCGATGAAACTCCTTGATCTGCTTCAGGCGGTTATAGAACTCTGCAAATTCGTTGGGCCCTGAAATGGCGCTGAGCTCCTCCTTCCGCAACCTGGTAATCCAAGAGACTATCTGAGCAGTATGACGAGGCCATGTCAACCAGCCCCAGGAATGGGAAGCGGAGGCAGATTCCCCCCCCCACACACACACTCACTCATTGCTGGGAAACAGGAAAGTGAGGCAGACCCCTCCACCACCACCATGTGGCTTACCCGTCCTTGTCATCGTACAAGTCTCTCAAGTTGCCGCTCACCTCCATATAGCGCTGGGGAAAGAGAACCGTTAAACTCACCCATGACCAGACCAGCCTCATCTCTGTCCCACTCTCCTGACCCTCTACTCCAGGGGTCCCCAACTTTCATGAGCCTGTGGGCACATTTGGAATTCTGACACAGCATGGTGGGCCCAGCAACAAAATGCCTGCCACAGGTGGCAGAGCTAGCCACAAATGATTGCCACAGCTTAACTTCAGTAACACAGTGCAGATTGTTGTGCTGTGGGGGTAGCTGCTGCCAAACTAAAATTTTAAAAAATCTGCAGTAAATCAAATCTCCAAGAGTAAATCAGAAGCCTAGCTGGGCAAAAGCCCTAGCCCCGCCCACTTTCTAAAAACATGGTGGGCACCAGGGCGCCCAACGGCACCACGCTGGAGACCCCTGCACTACTCACATCCTGCATGGCTCTTGTGCGGTGATCCGAGTTGATCTGATCTCGCAACTATAGAGAAGGAAGAAGAGAGACAGAAATGAGGGGGGGGGGGCGAGAATCAGTGGAACCCTACCGATCGCCTACCTCCCACCCCGGGGTGGACCCTGGGTTCTCACCGTGGATTTGCGCGTCAACATCTCTTTGACCATGACGTCCATCAGCCGCTCCCGCTCCTCATGGTAGCGGCGCTGCTGCTCTAGAATGGTCTCCATGGTGGAGGTGAAGGGAGGGAGACGGTGGCCGGAAGTATTCCTGCAGGGCGGAAGTCGTCCTGCGAAGCACCGCCCGGAAGCCAGACGAAAGTTCCGGTTCCGGCAGCGGGGAGATGGGCGGTGGCTTGTACCTTCTCGCTGCCCCGTGGGCGGCCCTGAGTGCTCGTGGGAGAAAAGCCTTTAGCTGGATTCGACGCACTGCTGCTTTTCGTTCGTTACTGGAATGGCCCTGCCGCGCGCGCGGTCCCACTGCTTTGCTTAGCGCCGGGGCACAGCCGCGTGGTTTCTTTCCACCAGGTTATTACAATTTGCCCCGCTTCCGTGGTGATGGGGGCGGCTTCCCGGCTTCATCGTGGTGCATTTCCCTGGTCATGATTTTTGCGGAGTTTGGCGAAAGATCGCAGCAAAGCCTGGATGGCTGCTGTGCGACTGGGAAAGTTTGGGTTTTCTTGGTTCTGCCCCCACAGAAGCGGTTTTACCTGCAGCTCCTGTGTGTGTATTGGCGATTGAGTATTTTTTACAACAGTAGGTCTGTCGGGTTCTCTAGATCCCAGCTTTCTTTTAAAAAGAGTACCGGCTCAAGGTATTTTGTCTCTCAGTACACCCCGGTGCCTAATACGGGTTCATGAAAAGTCCTACACTCTTGGATTTTTTTAAAAAAAACCAAAAACTTTATTTGTGTGTGGTCAGGTGCCGTCAGTTTGCTTCAAGCTTGTGGCGACTCCATGAATTCATGACCTCCAAAACGTCCTGTTGTTAACAGCCATGCTCAGGTCTTGCAAACTGAGGGCGAGGCTTTCTTGACGGAGTCAATTCGTGTCATGTTGGCTCTTCCTCTTCTCCTGCTGCCTTCAACTTTTCCTAGCGTGATTGTCTTTTCCAGTGACTGTTGTCGTCTCATAATGTGACCAAAGTACCATAGCCCTCTGTTTAGTCATTTTAGCTTCCAGGGAGAGTTCAGGTTTGATTTATTCTATAACCTACTTATTTTTTTATGGGTCTATAGTCTCCCTTAATGTGTGTGTATATTACCACTGCAAGGGATCATAGCTTTGTGGCCTAATGTATTTCATTGGGTGTCACAATTGCTTTCCTTCCTTATAGTAAAAAACCCTGAGATTTGTTAAAATACATGTAATCGCTGAATTAACCAGGGTTTAAGCATAGTTAACTGCTGATGAGAATGATCATTGTGCTTACAAGTTTTGCACAGAACCATTCCACCCCCCTCCCCATGTACAGTTTTTTTCCCATGGGCGTAGTTGTATCTGCTGACTGAGGAATGGTTTCATCCATCCAATGAAAACAGGCTTTAGCTAAGAAAGTGACATATGCACAAGAGGAAACACTTGTGACCTAACGCGTTTCGGCCCAATGAAGGTACATTAGCTCTGATCAGGTGGTTTAACCTGTATTTTCTGGATGAAAATTGGAAGGCATACACATGCAACATTACTCAGCTTGTATGCATCTGTAACTGACACAAGGCTAGTTTCAAGGAGGCCTCACAGATAATATTTCTCTTGTCATTTGATTCCATATTGGAAAATTCCTTTCTTGGTCCTATATCAACTTGTTAACTGCCCTTTGATTGTAACAGGAGCCTATTTGTAACTTTTAAAGTTTGATCTCTGAGGAAGGCTGAAACATGTTAGGTCATAAGTGTCTCCTCTTGTGCATATTTCACTCTTATGTTATGAGGCTTGATTTGGGGCCTTGTATGTTTTTTGAAGTCTTTGCAATAAATACATGTATTTTTATTTTTACTTATTCTATATTTAAGTTTTAACTATTGGCCCCTTACTTGTCTTCTGACTTATCTTCGTGGTTCTTGATTCCATTTTGTTGGGTTGAGTCATCCCCCCCCCCTTTTTCTTCACTTTAGCCAAGAAAACTTCTGCTACAGTAAATCTCTTAATCTTTAAATTGGCACAAGATTCCTTTTTGGTTTTACTAACATGGTTACCTGTGTCTATTGGTCTTTGGAACTTAATTCATTTATACCCCGCCTTTCTCCCCAATGGGGACCCAAAGCATCTTACATCATTCTCCTTTCCTCCATTTTATCCTCCCAACAACCCTATCGTGTTGGTTAGGCTGAGAGAGTGATTGGCCCACGCCCAAGCAAGCTTCCATGGCAACAAGTGGGGATTTGAGCCAGGGTTTCCCAGACCCTAATCCAACACTTTTAAGCTCTATACCACCCTGGCTCTAAATGACTACCTAATTCATGCCAAGATTTCACCAGGGCATAGCCCTGTAGGACACTGTTTTCAGCCTGGAAGACAAAATACTTCTTAAAGGTGGTTTCCCTTCACACAATAACTTAATTTTCTCACATCATGCTTTGCTTTATAAGGTGAACCCATTTTCACAGCTGTGAATCTGGGAGTAGGCCTCATTGAATACTGTGAGACTTACTTCTGAGTAAATCTGCGTAGGATTGTACCATGACACAGCCGCCTGTCTGGAATTTCTTTCTCCCTCTGAGCCAGATATGCAGGTGTCCCACTGAAGTGCAGTGGGTTTATGTCAAAAGCCTGCATAAGGTTACAGCCATAGGAAAGCATCTATCCTTTTGCAGGCTTGGGCTGGCTTCTCACACACACCTGTTCCCAGTCCACTTACTGTCTCCCAGTCTCCTGAGTCCCCCTTCCCCCAGCTGTAATGGGAAGGCCTCATCTCCATTTTCTAGCCAAGTGAAGAGTGGCTGAGGACATGGAATGGTGTGGTATAATCAGATCTCAGAAGCTAGGCAGGGTTGGTACTTGGATGGGAGACCACCAAAGAAGACTCTGAAGAAGGAATCAATGGCAGATCACCTCTACTTGTCACTTGGAGTGAAAGTCCCTTGCTGGGGTTGCTATGCATCAGTAACAACTTGACGGCACTTAAACACATAAATAGTGGTCCAGAATTAAACTTAATTATCTACACCAGTTTAGGGGTGCAAAGCACATGTCTTTTTAAAACTCTCTAGAATCAGTTGATGCATAAAAGTCCATCCATCGAGCAGGGACTGGGCAGGCTAAAAGTCAACAAGAACCAAAGATAAAAGTTCTAGCTGCCTGCTTTTCCCCACGGACCAGACTGGCCCTGACACCTCTGAGTCATGATACTGTCACTGCCTTCCTTTATCAGGAGGGCCTATGCTTCCCCCCTCCGCTCTTCTTGTTTTCCTTGGCTGTTGCTACTCCTTGCAAAAAGTCTACTTATTTTTGGCCAGGGGGTGGCGCTGCCCGGTCCCCCAGCCTGGTACTGCAAAGAAACAGCACAAGCAAGTAGCCCTGGTTGCAAAGCAGACTCAGCCGCTACACTGGAGCTCTCTTTTGCTTCCAAGTCTGGCTCTGGAGGCCTCTGCCCAGCCAGGGCCAGGAAGAGCAGGGTTGAATTCTACTCTGTCTTTTCTTAAAGGCACAGGCGCAACAAGTTCCTTGCCTTTAAAGAGTCTTTTGCCAGAATGAAAAACTCCCTTGCAATTGACTTTTATGGAATACTGGGGTTGACGTTGCCCCTGTGCCATTCCTCTACCCTGAAAAATGCCCCAGAGCTGCATTGGGTGAGGCCTAGAAACTCTCCCCTCCCCACTTGTGGGCCCCAAGGGTATTGGGCCTGATCCTGGAATGCTCCAAGCCTTTGGTCTGGCCCAGTCCTGAGTGGGAAGGAGGAGGCACCTCTAGGCACTGCATGTGCGAGGGTGGGAGAAAGATCATCCTTGCCACGCCCATGAGGAGCCAGGTGCAGGGCCTTCCAAGGGCAAAGTGAAGTCCCAGCCTTGGCAGGTGATGGTTGGCATGAAATGGGTGTCTCAGCCTGAAGCACCCGGTCCACCGCAGTGGGCCATGGGTGAGGACACAATACAAGGGACACAATAAGGAGGCAGTCTGCATAGCCTGTTACTGAGGGCTAGCCTTGAATGTGCAGCCAGAAAGGCTCTACATGGCTTCTTCTGCCCCCTTGCTAGGTGAGGGGAAGGAAAGGTGAGGCAGGCTGTGGTGCCTGATGGGCTTGCGTGCCTGGGGCTGCTTTCTCCCCCCCCCCCCACACACACACACTGCCCCCCACTGTGGGCTTTCTCACTCACTGGGGCTGGGCCCCTTTCCAACTTTGCTCCCTCACCCAGCGGCGCTGCTGGGCCCACCCCCACCGCCCCGCTCCAAGCCTTCCTTGCATTACCTCCCCCCTCTCCCCCTCATTAAGTGAGTCACCACCCCTTCACATTGGGATGGAATCCAGATGTTGCCGGCCACAGACAGATGGGCCGTTTCCTTTTTTGGAGAACAGCACCAGTTACTGGATCCCAGGGGCAAACACTGCAAGACAAGCTGTGTGAGCGTGTGTGTGTGGGGGGGTGTGTGTGTGTGTGGAGCTGATTGTTATCTGGGCCAAGCACTCCCCCTCTCCTCAAAAAAGTTTCAATGGCAGCCACATCTGGAAAGATTATTGTGAATAAAAGGGAACGCAGCACATGGACAGAATCAAAGGGAGGGGGCTGCTAGAGTCACACCACCACCAGCAGCACCAGAATGTACCTTGGGGGACTTTAAGAATGGGCAGAGGGAGGGGCTCTGCTTCCGGAGGGCTGACAGGGCACACAGGCAGGCCTGGGATTTCAAGGAAAGCTCAGCTTCTGTTTGCAGCGGAGCCTCATGAAAGCTGTTGACTGTAAGCCCAGGAAGCACCAGGCCGACGACTGGGCAAGGAAACCAGGGGAGGGGAAGAGGACGGAGACAGTCCATTTTCCATCCTTATAGCAAAACCCAGCAAGCGGCTTTACGAACTGCTCAAGAAAAAGGAGAGACCACAGATTTCAGAGGAACCAAAGGCAATGTTAGCCGCCCCCTCCCCGCCCAAGACACCAGTAATACTCATGGTCCATTAACATGGTTTATTATTCAATGCCAGAAGTGGGAAGGGTACATACAGTTACTGGCAGTGAACAGGGCTATAAGGAAGCAACCCCCCCCCCCCCCCCGACAACCCCGACAAGGGAAACCTTGAAAGAGCTGGTGCTTGATCCCCCGCAAAGGTTCTGAGGGTTGGTGACATGCAGAATCTTCCTCCAGAGGGGTGGGAGGGGACATCCGCCGCTTCGTCTCCCCACCAGGAGAAAGGAAAGAAAGAAACAACCCCCCCCCCAAGAAAAGGAAGGAAACCCTGGGAGCTCTGCTCAGGCCAGGAGGTTCAGCTTTGCATGCTCTCCTGGCATGGCAGAACTGTCATGGGTGCCCCCCCCAGCCACTGCTGGGCTGAGGCCCTCTTGCCTTGGGTGGAAAGGCCAGTGTTTGGAGCCCGAGAGGTCTTCTCTGTCTGCTCCTCTTTTTTCCCTTTGCATTCCCCTTCAGCACAGAGGTTGTGTTGGTGACTCAGACAAAAGGGCCCAAACCTTCCAGGTGTCCTCAGGTTTCTGGCCTCGCTTAGTGAGACAGGTGGAAGGAGAAGCAACAGCAGCCCCCTCTCTCTCTCTCTCTCTGGGTGTGCACTGGGGGGGGGGAGGAGGAGCGTTTTCCTTTTTGTTACCCTCCCTCCCCTGCCTGCAAGCCGGCTAGGTTTGACTTTTGCTGTGGGAAAAGGAGTTGTCTGCATCACCAGCTGGGGGATCATTTTGCCAAAACCTCAAAAGGTGGGGCAGCTTTGGATTCTAGAGGGTCTTCTCTGAAAGTTGAGCCAAGTCCTGCCTGGCCCACAGCCCCCTCCAGATTGGACATTCCGCCCCCCTCCAGCCGGGACCGCTAATCGCAGACTTGCGGAGAACTGCAAAATGCCTTGCTGGCTCTCAGGGTGGGTGGTGAGGGGGGAGTGCTATATCACAGGGACGGCCGGCGTGAGCAAGCCTGAGATCAGCCACCACGCAGGCCATAGGGAACAGGGATTGAAACCTTCCTGGGGAGGGGCATCCGCCCGTCCCCTCCTGCCCCGTTGCTCCAGGACAGGACTTGGGCACACACAAAGCCTGCAGGACAGGTGCCTGGTGGCATTTCAGAGGTCGCTGCTGGCACAGTCGCGGCAGAGGATCTCCTCATTCTCGGGGATGAAGCCTTTCCCCACCAGCGAGGTGGCGCAGCGGGAGCAGCTGAAGCAGTTGTGGTGCCAGTGTCGATCCTCGAAGGAGACGTATTTGCCCCCACCGAACCCTGCGGAAGAGAACCCTCAGAGGACGCCTGGGCAGAGCTGCCTCCTGGCTCCACCCCCGCCCCACCCCGTGGCAACCAGACAGCCCACCTTCCAGGGAGGCACCTTTGCCAGGCCAGCTAGTAGGAGGGGGGACCCCCCACTCACCCGTGATGGGTTTTGTGCACGCGCTGCACTTCTTGGCATAGAGGTTCCCAAAGCATTTCACGCAGTACGGCTGGTCATCCTGGGAGGTGAAGTGTTGCCCAGCCAGGGGCACCCTGCAGCTGGTGCAGACAAAGCACTCCTTGTGCCACGGCTCGTCCCGGTAGGTCACACCTCCCTTGGTCAGCGACTGTGGGCACAGTAGCAGTGTTGGTATTGGAAGCTCTGCACAGATTCCCTCTCCATAGGGCTGGCAAGCCCCTGGTGGGGGGGGGGGGGGTGCCCCCCCCCCCCCCCGGTCCTGTTGTGCACCACCGCTTGGAAGGGCAGCGGGATAAAAAAGGGGGGAAAGCCGCCTGGTGTACTTACTTCATGTTCATATAGGAAGTGACATAGCGTTTCCAGCCATTCCTAGAGCTACCGGAAACTATAGTTTCCTAGAACTACCCTTTGCCACTTCCTAAATTAACTTCCAGTAAGCTTATGAGACTGTATTTACTTTTAATTTTTGTCCTGTGAGCTTGTCCCCCCCCCCCCAGCAACCCTTCTGCCAATTACCAGGCAGTGCCAGGCAGTCCTGCTTTCTAGGGTTGCCAGCTCTGGGTGGGAAATACCTGGAGATTTGGGGGATGGAGCCTGGAGAGGGCAGGATATTTGGGGAGGGGAAGAACCTCACCAGGGTTCAATGCCATAGAGACCACCTTCCAAAGCAACTTTTCCTCCAGGGGAACTGATCTCTGTTGTCTGGAGGTCAATGGTAATAACAGGAGACCTCCGGGCCCCACCTGGAGGTCAGCGACCCTACTACACCCCACCTGAAGGTCTGTGGGAATTCCCTCACACACGCACCCCGCACTGACCTTCTTGCAGCGTGTGCAACGGGGGGCGAACTTGCTCTCATAGCAGGGGACGCAGTAGTAGTCCTGCTGGTCGGGGATGAAGGAGTGTGCCCCAATGGGCTGCTGGCAGCTGCTGCACAGGAAGCAATGCTCGTGCCACGTCTGCCCATTGTACTCCAGCTTCCGGGAGCCTGTGGCGAAGGAAGCACCAGGGATTAGAGCACCGCAGGGATGCGGTGGACTCCCCCTGAACCTGCCCACCTATCCCTTTCCAGCTGGCCAGCATCGTACCTGGCATGACTATCTGCTGGCAGGCCACACACTGGGAGGAGAACTCTCGGCAGTAGCAGTCGTTGCAGAGAAGCTCCTCCCCCTGGCAAGTGAAGGGCTCATCGGCCAGGGAGCGGTCGCAGCGGAAGCACCGGAAGCAGCCTTCGTGGTAGTGGCGGTCTTCGTAGTAGAGCTCCTGGGGGGGAAGAAAGAGAGGATTGAATGAAGAGGCTCCCCCACCCTGCCTGCTCTGGCAGCCAAAGTGCAGAGACTGAGCCACAGCCTACTCTACACTGTCGCATAGGACAAGGGGCCCCCCCCCCCCCGGGGCTCTCTTTAGTGGGCTACTGCAAGTCAGGGAGGCAAGCTAGGGTTGCCAACTTCAGGTTGGGAAATTCTTGGAGATTTGGGGGGTAAAGCCTGCAGAGGGCAGGGTTTGGGGAGAGGCCTCAGTGGTGCATAATGCCATAGAGTCCACCTTCCTTTTTTATTATTGAATTTATTTGTAGGTTTTTTATGTTACAAAAGCAAAAACAAAAATACAGTACATAACTCATTTTTTGGAGTTTACGTTAAACATTCTTTCCAAACCATTTGTTAACTCTATACCATCTTTTTTGAAAAGCTTTTCCATCTTTTCCTGAAAGTATCATATTCAATTTATCCATTTCTGCAAGTTCAGATATTGTAGTAACCAACTCTTCTCTAGTGGGTAATTTCTCTGCCTTCCAACACTGAGCAACAAGAATTCTGGCTGAGTCCACCTTCCAAAGCTGCCATTTTCTCCAGGGGAACTGATCCGTATGGTATGAATATCAGTCCAGAATGTGGTGACATGAGTCCCAGTGGGAACGCCATGGACAGCACATATACAACCTGTGCTGTGCCAGCTACACTGGTTACCAGTAGAATACCGAGTCAGGTTCAAGGTTTTGGTACTGACCTTTAAGGCCATGAGCAATCGGTGACCTATGTACCTGAGATCAGAACAACTTGCTGGTGATCCCTGGCCCTAGGGAGGTCCGGCTGACCGCGACTAGGGCCGGGGCCTTTTCAGTCCTGGCCCCGACCTGGTGGAACTCTCTGCCGAACCACATCAGGGCCCTGCGGGATCTGATGCAATTCGGCAGGGCCTGTAAGGCGAAGATGTTTAGTTGAGGGCAGCAACAGGTTTTTAGTTGAGGGCAACAATGGTTAAAACTGGCACCCTCTTTTTCTTCCTATGACCCCCACATGCCCTTCCCTGCCCTGCTGCACAGACAGCACTGTAGCCAGCAAAAGGGGTTTATATCGCCATCTGGACTGGTTAATTTATTGTGATAATTTTATGCTGATTGTATTTTAAACTACTTTTAAGGCTGTAAATCACCCAGAGCCTTCTTGCAGGGTGGGTAATTAATAAAGTTAATAAAATAAATAAATAAATATTTCTGGGAGATCTCCAGGCCCCACCTGGGGGGTGGCAACCTGATGCCCTCGGCAGAATGGCACCGCTCTCTCTTACTGCTAGCATGGGCACCAAGGAGCAATTCTGAAGAGGAGTGGCAGAGCGGGGGATAGGGAGGAAATCAGGCCTGTATCAGTGCAGAGCATCTTGCTAGGCAGAACAGGCCAGAACGAGAAACCTGCATCACTGGCACCCGTTGCCAAGCCTCAGGAGGGTGAGGAATGCAGCGCCGATGGCGGGCTGATCCATGGCAACCTTTTCGAGGTGGAAATGCTCTTGAGCCCCTGAGCAGCCCTGTTCTACCAGACCAAACTCCCAGCATGCCGTCCCCCAGAGTGGTCAGGCTGAGCATTCAGGAAGTGCACAAACAGCACCCTCCCTGGCTCCCTCCGTTGCCACGACTGGTCTTCAAAGATATACTGCCTTGGGCATGGAGGCTCCATTTAGCTGTTGTGGATAAGAAGAGCTGCTTTGCTGGACCAGAGAAGGTTCTCCCAGATTAGAGTCCACGCTCTTAATCACTACACCGAGCAGATGTGATCCCCCTGATGGTGGTGTTCGCTTAGAGATCTCCCTAGCAATGCCTGAATGCCTGATTTAACCCCTGAATGATCTGAATCCAGTACCCCCTTAAAGACCAACAAGTCTGTCCAGGGTATAAGCTTTCAAGCTCTCTGCCTCAGATCCAGCATAGTGTAGTGGTTCAGAGTGTCAGACTAGTATCTGGAAGATCCAGGTTCAGATCCCCACTCATGCTGTGGAAGCTCGCTGGGCCAGTCACAGTTTCTCCGCCTACCCTACTTCACAGGGTTGTTGTGAGGATAAAATGGAGGAGAGGAATTATATAAGCTGCTCTGAATCCCCACGGGGAAGAAAGGAGAGGTATAAATAACTTGTGGGCAATGATGACTCAGCAGCTGTGGGGCTGGGCTTACCCTGCAGTCATGCCCAATGAGCTCCTTGCACTCGTCACAGGTGTTGGCAAAGCGGGTGTCGTAGCAAGGGATGCAGAACGGCCCTTCTTCCACCTGGATGTACTTGCGCCCGTAGAGGGTCTCCTTGCAGCTTGCACAATCAAACCCCTCCGTCATGATGCCGGCCAAGATGCCGCCCGCCCACACGCCTTCTGGGGAGAAAAGGTAACATGGTCAGTGAGAGTTCCAAGCCACTGGGAAGACTGTGGACAGCCTGCAAGGGACAGAGGGGCTGGCATCTGGGACGTCCATCTCTCTCCAGAGAAACCGATTCTAAGCTAACAATGGTTTCTCCACACCCCACATTGCACAGAGATCATCTTTTGGAGGAGACTGAAACCCCATGAAAGACAAAAAATGGCAATTTGGAATGTTGCAAGGGGGGGGGGAATCACACAAGTGAAAAGCCTTTTCTCCCTTTGCCAGTTTTATGAAGAGCACCCTCCCCAGCCGCTCTTTGTCCCAGGAAAGCCTGGTCTCGGCTGGGTGCATCAGAAACTCCAAGGCAAGGCCAGTGCAACATACTGCAAGTCCAATGGAGGGGCAGACAGAGTGAGTGAGAGAGAGTGAGGGCACTCAGCTGAAAGAAAATGGGAGAGACTGGTGGGAACTGGAGGGGAGAAAGAGTGCAGAGCACAAGACCAGCTTCAAGGGCTCAGCCAACAGCTCTACTCGCCTCTCCCTCCCACCCATCTGTTGCATCTACATGAACACAAATGAAGCTGACTTGTACTGAATCAGACCCTTGGTCCATCAAGATCAGTGCAAGACCTTCCACAACCAATTTATGGGCCCTATATAATACATAAGGAGGGAAGCACTAGGTATTGCACAAGAACTAAGTATCGCACAAGTGGAACTACACTCCTGAACACGTGAAGCTGCCTTATACTGAATCAGACCCTTGGTCCACCCAAGTCAGTATTGCCTACTCAGACTGGCAGCAGCTCCAGGGTCCCATGCAGAGGTCCTTCACATCACCTACTGCCAGATCCTTTAACTGGAGATGCTGGGAATCAAACCTGGGACCTGCTGAGCCAAAATGCCTCTCCAATCCAACTTTGCTTAAATTGGAGGCCCTCAGTTGGGCCCTCTTTGAGCTGCACTTCCTCCGAACAGCACACAGACATGTTCTGTGACCTTCACTCTGATTGCCCAGGAATCCCAGCCAGGTGCTGCCCCCAAGAACTGGGATTCCCGCCACAGGTCAGGATGGGGAGAAGATCAGTCAACCTCCCTGCTGGGCAAGACTCCCCTTGTTCCTGCTCAGCAGCCGCGTGATGGGGCCTCTGCCTGGGGCTGGAAGGAGCTCTCTTCCCCGCCCCTCCCCCTGACCCAGCCGCTGCCTCTAGCATCTCCTTGTTCACTGTACTGCCAAGGCCTAAACTCCGTCTGGCTGATCAGGCAAAGAGCTTGCGGGACGTGCCCGGGCTAGCCTGCCAGAGACCTGCAAGGGCAAGCTGCGAGTCGGGTCAGCGGGAAATGGTGACGGTGCAGTCCTTTTAAAACAAAGCCAAAACGTGGGAGGGGAAAGAGGCAACTGCAATCCTTTGGTGTCGGAGGGTGAGTCAAACGCCAGTCTGGCTCTCACTAATACAACTGCCATGCCAAAGAGTCCGTGACGTACTTTGTGGTGCGACGGCAGCTGGAAGTGAGGCAGAGCAACGCACCTTGGGTCTGCCAGGCAGGGCGCTGAGCAATAGGCTGTACACGGGGTTGTCAGATTCCAGGTGGTAATAATCAACCACCAGTGGATATACAGTGTATGCAAGAATGCAAACCACCAAACAAAACTGCCTAGGTTGCTGTCTCCATGACTGCATTTTGAATATGTATACATGATCTATTTTATACAGTATGGAATTTGTTTATAAGCATCAATATGTATTCACAGCTCCACCATTAAGACCATGGCCTGAAGAAGTCAGAGGAAACAAACAGCAACCTAGGCCGCTTCTTTTGTGACTATGTGACAAAAGATTGTAATCGAAAATATTAATTCATTTTAAAGACACTATTTGTTGTCTAGTACTTTTGTACAGTTTTGTTTGTGGTCTGCAAACTTCCAGGTGGTGGCTGGAGATCTCCTGGAATTACAACTCATCTCCAGGCTACAGAGATCAGGGCTGCTTTGGAGAGTGGACTCTTATGGCATTGTACCCTGCTGAGGTCCCACCCCCAAATCTCCAGGACTTTCCCAACTCAGAGCTGGCAACCCTAACTGTACAGCCCCTCCCTTGATGGGGACCTCCCCCACCCCAATTGCCTGCTTTATGTTACAGAAAATACATATATACACAAATACCTGGCAATGAACTTTACAGTGCAGGTGGGGGAGTATGTCAGTAGATGTGAACAACATATGCTTCTAGTGCAACTACTTCTGAAAACCTAGGGATGCCAACCTTCAGGTGCTGCCTGGAGATCACCCAGTATTTCGACAGACTCCCAGATGACAGAGATCAATTCCCTTGGAGATTAGGGCTGCTTTGGAGGATGGACTCTTATGGCATTGTATCCCACTGAGGTCGCTCCTCTCCTCAAGCCCCACCCTCTCCAGGCTCCACCCCTCAAGATACTTCCTTAACCTAGGGCTCGCAACCTTGGTCATCCCCCAGAGCCAGAAGCTGTTTTCAGAGGAGGACAGGAGGAAACAACTCCCCGGACACACAGAAAAGGCATTCCCCTGCAACACTCACATCAAGCAAACCCAACCAAGAAACCAACTGGTCTTGGCTTTGGGACTTGGAAAAGGCCTACCGCTTTTCTTTGGCACTGCTAAATGCACACTGGGGCACGTGACACATGATGTCCCAGGTTCATGCCCAGTTAAGGTCAAGAGCAAACTTCCTTCCAGCAGCTCCCACCACCAGAAAAGCATGGTCCATTGGGAAGTAAATTATGGAAAATTGGCTCTTTAGCAGGAGAGGCTAGTAGAAAACAACACAGCCACCCCACAATGCTCTTTGCGTATGGGACATGGGTGTGCTGTGGTCCTGATGGCCAGGCTTAAACCAGAGGATGACTTGTTGTGGGTTTCTCATGTCCTTGTGCATAATCTATGTACAGCTGGGGGGGTGACTGTCCCAAGGAAAGTGGGGATAATACACCAACCGCTGGGGGTGGACAAGGAGTTCTTGCATACAGCTGGGCCGGGGGGGGGGGCATATAACTTGCGGGTCTGACCAACAGGCAGAAACAGAGCAGGCAGTTTAAGATCTCCCCAGCCTTTGCTGAATGACAGTCTCTACACTGAATACCTGAAGCTGCCTGACCCTTGGCCCGTCAAGTTCAGTATCATCTACTCAGTCTGGCAGTGGCTCTCCAGGGTCTCAGGTCTCGCCTACTACCTGATCCCTTTAACCTGAGATACCGGGGTTGAACCTGGGACCTCCTGCATTCCAAGCAGATGCTCTACCCCTGAGCCACAGCCCTTCTCTCCAAAGGTCTCCCCTTGTGTCAAGTAAAGAACCATTAGCTGAGGAAATGAGAATCAGATCCGGCCCTTCCTGGGAACCATTTCTGAAAACACTCCTCAGGTCAACAGGGCTTGGGACTGGATGTAGATCGAGTTGTGTGTATGAGTGGGAGCTGGTGTGCTGCAATTGTGCAATCACACACACAATGGTGTGAAAAATAAGGCAGCTTGCTGGCGCAAGAAAGGGCCATTGCTCTCCATGTCTGCACAAAGGCGAAAGGGAACTCTTTTTTCCCCAAATTTGGTCAAAACAGTTGCTCTCTCGCTTACGGCTCTTTGTTTGGAGAACTGCTTCTCCGGAGGGAGCCTTTCCAAGGGGGGAGGGACGTGGATCAGGTATCACAGAGAGCGAAAGCGCTTGTGGCTTCTGGGGGGCTAGAGGCGCCTTTTGTACTTGGACTCTGTCCAGCTGACACCACGGCAAGCAAGAGGTCAAGGGAGGCCATGCGGTGGGGGGGGGGGGGGGGGAGAGGAGAGAATCCTGGTGCATTTAATCTGGAAGAGAACTGGAGTTCCCTCTCCAGCACGCTTCATGATTTGGGAATGTTTCCTACCCACCAAAAGGGATGCTTCTCAGGTTACTGTGCCCCACTGTGGGCTGAGAAATCCAGACCATCTGTTTCGCAAGGGGCAGGCAGACACACCCCCTTTTAAGAGGCAGCACAGACCAGAGCGGGTCCTGCAGCCAACAAAGGGAGCACTTCCTCCTCCCCCTCCTCAGAGTAAAACTAGATGGCATTTCCAGCTGTACAGCTGAGATGTTCCAGTCCTGGAGAGAGAGCTGGGCAGGCTCCATCTGCTATCAATTACGCTCCCAGGGCAAGCTTGAGCCAACTGCAAATCCCTCTGTACCACTGCAAACATTTCCCTGTGGGAATCGGAGACCCTTGCTTCTTGCCAAGTTCTTTCTCCAAGACCCATGCGAGGTGGGGGTGGGGGTGGAGAGCAGTTCATACTTTTAGGCCTTCATTATGCCTTCATAAGTGATCCGTGAAGCTGTTCTGAACGCAGCCGCTCTTCTTGAAGAGCTGCTCCCCTGGCAAACACAGACTTTGACCCCCTCGGTTGGCCCAAGTCAAAACATTCAGTTCCTCTGGGAAATCAGTAAAGACTCCAAAAAGGTGCCTGGGAGTCCAGGCTCCAGAAGATTAGCAGGAGACATGCTCTTGTCTGCAAAGACAACCCCCCCTCCCTAGGCAAGATTTGAGAGGGCAAAGGCCTGAGGGAGAAGGCCAGCAATCTGAGTTCTGCCAGAGACTGCCTCTTCTTCAGCAGACTGCAGGACAATGCACTCTGCTCTACTTAAAGAAGGAGCCACTCCACAGACACGTCACGTCTGGTAAACCAAGGCAGATCTGGGGTTGCAACAGACCTTCAGAGGAGAAAGGCACTTAGCACAGTCCAGACAGCTGGCCCCAATCCACACGCCACATCCGCAAACAACTGATGTTTGGCCAAGGAGAATCTGCCTTGGGGGGGAGGGGGTGTTGTACCCAAGACATTCAAAGTTCCCAACTTTGGGACCGTCAGCTGAAATGGAATCCTTGGGCCTTTTTCCATTCTTCACCCCCTACCCTGACCACCGGGCACTGAGAATCTCAAGACACAAGACTGAAATCAGTACCGAATTAATGCAGTGGGGTGGGGTTTGGTGGAGAGGGCCTTCTTGGGCCG